ATTGATAAAAAGAAATTATTGTTAGAAAAAGGTAAGTCAAAATATACTGACGTGCCAAAGCAATTTCCGTTCTGGGTCAGAATCTCGCTTAGTCGAGAATATTGCCCAGACACAAATATAGCACAATATCTCGTCGTGCGGTATAATTAGTTGGACTTGAAAAAAGTTAAACCTATTTTATCATATTTCTCATGGTATTTGATAGAACTTATAGAAACTCTTTCTTCTCTTTTTATAAAATGTATGTTTATTACTTTGACAGATTCATAAAATGCTTATGTTAGTCACTGTTCATAAAATGCTTATGTTAGCTTATGTTTTTGTGGTCAAAATATATTGTCGTGCCAAACCCAGATTCTGAGATATATTCCTTCTGGCTAAAAATCTCGCTTTTACAAATCCGCAGTATTGAATTATTTCACGCAGCTGTAAGCTTATTTAAATCATTACGCTAATTGTAGCTACAAGTGGATTTATAAATTTTCTGTCTCAGGCATAAATTTGCCTATGATTTATCAGATGTAAATACGATTTTACTAAAAGAAAATGTGTCTGCTATTGTTTTACCTTTAATATACTATGACCTTATATATTAATCAATGTATTTTCTATTTTATCTTACACGTAATTCATTTGACTATTTTTAGAAATGTTTCTTTAAATAGTGTATCATTGTAAATACGTATATACGAAAACGTATATAGCAGAAATGTGCACGTGGCTGGGAAAAAATGTATTTCAATAAATTGGAAAAATATTTTATACAAATTGTCATATGCTTGTTCTAATAATATTCTTGGAATAGTATCGTTTTAGTATAGAACATTGAAAATAAAGTGACATCATATGATGGAACATATAACAATAATTACTATGATGATACAGAAAATTAATAATGGCGCACTTCAAATTATAGAAATGAAAGGTTCGTTGTGATAGAAAAGTAGTGTTTGCAAACTTCATATACTTTAACAAATGAAATAAAGATATATAATAATTGTCTTATGATATCTTTGGAACAGTTTGGAACTGTGTACACTTTCCAAATACAAAATAAAATGAAATATTTAACAACAAAGACTACAAAGACTAACGAGAATAAATTAAATATGTTTGTACGAAGATTTTAAATTCGTGACTAGGAAAAGACCAACCATCTTGGCATTAAAATAACATAAGAACTCGTCATAATCGGTTTACAAGCAAACAAACATACTGTTCTAGATCGCTTAGTCCTGATGCATACCCATAATTTTCATTCTTGGATGTTGTATACCTTGTCTATAACAATATAACAAAACTACAAAAAAATAATTATATTTTATTATTTCTATTATTGGGATATTACATTTCAGGAATAACAATATTAAAATATTTTAGGTCAAATCAATGCAATAAGCACCTTTGATTATGAAGTAAAATTGGAAGAGATTTGGGATTAATAAATACTTTTTAGGTCAAATCAATGCAACCAGCACCTTTGTTCGTAATTTGGTCTTTCTTTTTATAGTTTGTATATGTATGTCTTCTAGCTCAATAGATTGGGTGCCCATCTATCTGCATTTATCAATAGTGTAATCTTTCCATTTGATTTTGTCTTTTCTCACGCATCTGAATTTGAATCATTAGGATGCCAAAGTATTCTGTTATTTCATCCCGTTTCACACTTTTAAACAAGGCATAATTTACATTTAAATTTTTAGAATACTGGCATGAAATGGAAGAGAACAGAGAAATTCAAAACGTAGTATAATTATAGTAATTAATAGTATGTCTGTATTTTTATAACAATTTGTACAATTAAAGATAATGATTTTCTGAATTCTGAGCTCATTTATATTTGATATGAAACATCTCAGCATTTTCTATATTTAATATACAATGTCATATTAGTTAGATTACTCAACGCAAAAATTATACCTTACAGCCTTTAACATTAAATCTATATTGACTTTTTGGGGCAGTGCGAACTGGAAACATATACATATATAAAATTATGATGAAAATAAAAGTTAAACATAAAAAATAAGGTATTGGAACCTTCAGGGGTTGTTAGGTGAGCAGCTTTATTCCCCCTTTATCCGCCCCGGCTAATAATGTATTGTATAGCATAACATTTTTAGCGTGGAAAATCCAATCAACTGTTTCTATCTATAGTCAAAATGGGTTTCTGGTTTAAATCATGAATCGGGCCACAATTCTTCAACTGAGATTCTTCTTGACATATTGGATTAACAAATTGGACAACGCTGCTCTTCAGTGAAGAAGTGAATTTTAAGAGGAAAACTATCGCTTGAAAAACACTAATTTTTGTGAACAATATATTATTTTGGCTACGTCTACTATACAGTAACGTTTACTGTAGCGTAAAAATATGTTGAAATGGGTTTACGGATTATATCTAGTCTGAACACCTTAAATAGTTAAAGTATCATCGTTTAATCATTGGACTAGTGTTATACTTTCCAGTAAAGCAATAATGATAAAAGGAAATCATTGTTAGAAAAAGATCAAAGCAAAGATTTTGAGATATGTTTCTTCTGGGTCAGAATCTCGCTTAGGCAAGACACAAAATAGCACAATATCTCGTCGCACGGTATAATTAGTTGGACTAGAAAAGGGTAAAACCTATTTTATACTATTTCTCATGGGATTTGATAGATCTAATAGAAACTGTTTCTTCTATTTCTGTAAAAAGTATGTTTGTTGGATTGGAAGGAACTTATTGAAACTATTTCTTCTATTTCTGTAAAATAAATGTTTGTTGGATTTGAAAGAACTAATAGAAACTGTTTTTTCTCTTTCTGTAAAATGTATGTTTGTTGGATTTGAAAGAACTAAAAGAAACTGTTTCCTATTTTTCTTTAAAATGTATGTTGGTTACTTTGACAAATTCATCAAATTAGTATACATATCTCATGTCATTGTTAATAACATGGTTTAATATGTTATCTTATGTATGAGTATCTTGTTTTTGTAGTCAAAATAGTGTCGTGCCAAAGCCAGATTCTGAGATATTGTCCTGTACCAGAATCTCGCTTTTACAAATTCTCAGTATTGATTTTTTTTTCACACAATTGTAAGCTGACTTTAATCATTACGGTAGCTGCAAGTGGAATTAAAAGAATTTCTGTCTCAGACGAATGATATTTATCAGATGAAAATATTATTTTACCACAATTAAACATGTCTGCTTTTGTTTTCCATACTATGACCTTATAAACTAATAAATGTCTATTCTATTTTATCTTACACGTTATTCATTGGCTATGTTTAGAAATGTTTCTTTAAATAGCGTATCGTGTGATATATTTAGCTGAAAAATTTCCATAGCTGTTTCTATTTATAGTGAAAACGGTTAACCGGTTTCTGATCCGTTACTAGAATATAGTAGCGAAAGGTTGCATCCATGCAACAAAACAAACGTCAGTTAAGATATAATTTTAATGAGAAAGGTAAAAGCTATTCTTATAATACGCCTTGTATAACCCTCTTTATCGCTTTATTATTATTATAACTTGCTTTTTATGTCACCATTAAACGTATAAAATACCTAAGTTATAAAACCGGATAGATATTGAAAGAGGTTAACGATATAGTGTATAAAATACAAATTTATATAGAGATTGTTCAAAGTGCACTTGTATCCGATTGCGGATCGAGAAATTAAGTCTGAAATAAATAACAAAATTAATAAAATTTAAACATATTGCTTTATCACTGATTACATTATTCTTTGAAAAGTAAAATTGAATCGTGTTAAATCAAACCTTTAGCTCCATTAGGGTTAATAATTTAAATCCCATTAAATGCAATGTAAACATTATTTTTAATTATGGGTCATAAAAGACAATTCTTAAGTTGATAAATAATTATGCTAATATAATAGAAATGTCAGAATAGTTATCATATTTTGCTATAGTATCTTTTAATGTCATTTTTAATGAGGAAAAGTAAATTCAGTGTTCTGGTCACGTATCAAAAGAAATTTCTTGACATAATTTGTGTTCATTTGTTGTTTTATCAATATATTGTCATAGCTTGAAACAATGAAATAAGAAACTTCAAAATAACTTCATTTGTATTTTACCCACTTAATTAATTTGAAACACTATACAATCACAATTTTATTTATAAATATACTTAAATCAACACAAAAAAATATGTAGCAATGATTAAAGGGTATTAAGCTATATTTTATGAAATATTTTTACAAAATTCATCGTCAGCAAAATTTTATTACTTCCATAAAGAGTTGTAACATACAATGTCTCTCTAATTTAATAAACATGAATATTGCACACAAACAGAATAAAATGTTCCAGAACAAAATATTATACTGCTATTTAAAGTACTTTTTGTATCTGTTAAGCAATAATATCATGCATGTGCCAAATGCACTTAAAGCACTTTACTACCATATTTTTACAGAAGCATGTTTGAAAACTCAAACGATCATTTTTTAAAGTAGATATAAAGCTATATAAACCTTAAACTATTTTGAATTATAAGCATTGATTCACATTGATACTTTTGCGTAAGAATATTCTTTTATGACATATTATGTTACTTTTGCAAATCATTTGATTATTATTTATCAACTTTGTATAACGTTTGCTACTATTGAACTAAAAATGATCAATGCACAAAAATGTACTTCCTTTTATATAAAAATAAAAAAATCACATAATGCTGTTTGTATATTTTATATAAATAATGGGTTTTCCATGTTACTTGTTCACTTTACAGATGGCAGATAAATATTATAGACTTGTTTGCTTTGTGGTAGATATTTGTGCTGACGTATTAAGGAAATATTTTGTGAAACTTGCAAAAACTGATGTTGGGAACACTTATACATCAGTTGATGCTTACCTATCTCACAGAAATCGGAATGTGATGCAATTATTCAATAACAAAAAGCTCAGGAGAGATCAGTATGATTTATTGTATCCTGTTAACGGCACTGCTGATGAAAACCAATGGGACGTCTCAATACTGGTAACATTGATAACAGAACTTTTTGCCACGCGTCTGCAGCCACTCGTTATCGTCGCGTTGAAAAATGAAATTCGAGGGATTCGAAATGAGTTGCAGCATCACCCAAATACCGGCACTATTTCGGACGATGACTTCGATGATTATTGGGGGCGATTGGACTCTTCTGTTAGGCTTATAGCAATGAATGCGCTTGATACAAATGATCAAGCATCCTTACTTGAGAAAATAAATCAGGTTAAATGTAATCATCTACCAAATCTCGGTGATTGTTTACGTATTTGGCATGAAGAAACCTCTAAGCAGTTGTTAAACACTATGAATAAAATGCAGGCAAATGCCGAAGAAACAACTTCCATTCTCAGACAAGTGGTGGTCCAAAAACCAGGACCTTCAGGTAGGTTTCAGTATTCATACATCAGATTAAGGTTTTGTTATAAGATCGAAGTCATAGTCATGTTATTGTATTAATTCTTATTTATCGCAGTTCAGTAACGTTTTATATGATAAGCTCAGTGAAATTATCAAAATATTCCGAAGTGATCTGTATCTATACGTTTAGAAACTTTGCACGCAATTCTCAAATTATATATAATTGAAATAATTGCTTAATTATCTTCGACATTGGTCAAAAACTTTATATTTAATTGTTGCTTCAATATTTGTATTGTTTATTGGATGTGAAATATAATTTACTTCAGGGGACAAAAATAAAAGAATAAAAGTTGCTGATGATATTCTGGCACGGCTTCAAGGTAGGTTGGTAATTACAAAAAATAACATTCGAAAAGTATTGTCTACATTCATTTCTAACTTAGACAATTTTTTTCCATTTTAATCTTATAATCTTATGATCTAATCTATCACAACAGACATATCAATTACATTATCTCTATGATCTAATAAAAGTAAATTTATAAGTAAGTAAGTTTTTGTTTTCATGAGGGAAATTTGTGCTTATAACTATTTACTGTTTGTAAGCGGGGTTTGAGTCAACGATGAAAGAACTATCAGGCGATTTTAACCCACCAAGTGAAGTGACAGACATTCGAGCTAAACTAAGAGATGGCCATCACGTGGTTGTAACCGGATGCAACAATAGCCGTTATTTTGAGACCGCTCTTGCAGCAATAAAGGGGATGGATTATAATTACAAACGATGTGTAGAAATGCACACGTCGTCTGATTGGCGTCACATTGATCCAGAAGATGTAGACTTGGTTTTATGTAGAGATCCATTTGGAGGATTTTCTTACGATGAAAGCAAAGCTAAAGCCATGGAAGATATATTTAAAAGCATGATGCATTCAACAAAGAGAGATAATGACGTTAAAGCCTTGGACATTGTCATAATTACTGACCTGAATATATTGGAAGAGTGCAAAATGCATCACGACCACGAAATCTTAGACGAAGTGGTAAAAGTGTTTACTGATACAAGTTCAGCACAACCAGCTGATCTTACAATAGGTATATCATTTTTCATTTACTCTGCAATAGACTGATATGATGTTAAAAGAACTAATTCAGTCTAGGTTAATGTTAATGTAGATAATGTATTGAATAATATAGTATCTTAACGGTAATTTATCTCTCATTGTGTTAAGTGTCCATTAGTTGATTATGGGTGATTGTACTGGTTCTATTGTATTGTATTGTATGGTAATGTATTGTATAGTGATGCCTTATTGTGTTAAGCTCGACTTCTGTCGCATTGTAACAGTTATGGCGGCGTTGCTTTTCGCAAACTTTAACTATGATCATATCTTTTTTTAATTTCTGGTGTATTGCCTTCATACATAGCAACAAAAACCCTTGGGACAAGACCATTGAGTTGACTAGACTAAACTTGACATTCTTTCACAAATGACCTTGACCTTCAAATTCTAAATGTTGCTAGATTTTTGCTATAAGTGGCAATAACTTTGTTATTGTTGAATTTATTTTATTTAAAAATAAACACAACAATTTCTTTAGGATATACCTTCAAGATTTACTGCCTAGCTTAGTACTGAAATCGGGATAGAAGTTTTTCTCCGTAAAAGCTCCCATTTGGAGTCCCAAACAAAATATACCCCGTTTTCAGGCTTAAACCAGACAGTTAAACTATAAACTCTTTTTGAGATTATATCCAATACTAAAGCCAATCTTAGAAAAAAAAAAAAACATATTTTATCTTCGAGTCGACGGGATGATTTTTTTTAAAAAAGAAAGAAGAAAAGAGTAGTATAAGACATATTATCTTGCCATTGCCATAATTTTCTTCCTTTTTAGTGTACGGATTTGATTCATATGTACACAAAACAACACTTTTTAACCAAACGGACATGATATTTAATTTAGATATGATCTTGATCTTTAAATAATCTTATTGTCAAGGTCAGATGATTGAGTATTTGCTTGTATTTTCTTACATTTTTAATTTACTTATGGGAATGATTCATACTTGGATAAAACAAGAATTCTGACGAGACAGACTTATTTAGATTAATAAGGAAATTCTTTAATTGTATTTTTAAAGATTTGTTTAAACCGTTTATCTACCAGCTTAAAAGAAAACAACAAAAAAAAACAAAAACAAAACGTCGCCACTACTGTGTGGCGGCTCTTGTTTTATTTAATAAAACTTTGTTTATTCGTTAACCACGTTTACAGTTATACCATTGTAGGTTTGATTAAATAGTTAAAAATGAATAATCTTCGTTACAGGATGTAGACGACAAGGACAATACGCGCAATCGTCTTCGCTGCCGGTAACCAGAAATAATTTGGGAGGTAATATTGTTCTTTTTCATGTATATTTGTCATTACATGTAATTAAAAATGTCATACATGTTTGTTTTTTTGTTGTTGTTTTTTTACAAATAATTTGACTGTTTATTTTTAAGCTTTAACGGAATGTTTCCTGAAGGCTTATAAGATATCCAGTGGTCAAGTAGATGATGAGATATTTAAAAAAGCAAAGAAAAGTTTCCAAGTAAATAAGGCTATAGTACTAACAGGGCGTGAGAAATGTGGTAAAACTTCTATAGCTGTTGCATTGGCGTCTGCCTATGAGGAACAGCAATGTTTACTTCTGAAGAAACCACATGATATTGACAAAATTGACTTCCCAAACATCTGCTTAGTGATCATTGACGAGTTTGCTGGGAAATATCGTTATGAGGAAAATGATGTGTACGAATGGTACAATATGTTTGACCACCTGTACAATACCGTTATAGCAGGACAGATGAACGTGATAATAACGTGTGAAAAGGATAAACTAGAAAAATGTATCAAAGAAATTGGACGGCATGCCATTCTTGACCACGTGGTGGATGTAACTTTACAAACAGCTGTCGTTAAATTAGAAGTAATTGAACGTAAGTCGAATATATTGCGTAGTGTTATATATCATACTATCGTTATATTTCTTAAAAACGTTTTTAAACAGATGAATTTCACTATCATAATAAATGATAATTTGACTAAATGACCGGTTATGTCATTTAACGTTAAGATCGGAAAAGGTATAGATTAAAATAGTTGACTTCATGTCGATTTTAGCGGAGATGATAATTTTAATCAATGCATGACATTATACATGTATTTTAAAAAGTGTCAGGTTTTTTTATAGTTTGTCACTTTATAGGTATTTAATTTTCTTTAACCTTTTTACCGCATGAGTATATTGTGAAAAATGCCCGATTTCATTGAAAAGCTTCCTGTTACAAGTTTAAACTGCTATGAAACTATAAAAAATGCTTCATTACGGATGAAACTTGGCACAAAAATTGACTGGACGTACCATAGCCTTTGTAACAGCAATCTTAAATTTCCTGTAACCATGGCAACGGGGAGAGCGTCTCAAAATTGCCAAAAATCAATGCCAAATATTCCATTGTTTTTTCCATCAAAACTGATTTTAAAGTGCTGCAACTTCTAAATGGATAGTGATAAGTAAAAAGCCTTATAGCGTTGGTTACATGTTACCTTAAAATCGACATGGGGCCATTTTTAGCCTGTTACATGTTACAAAGTTTTTTTGGTGATGAGGATATTATTGCTCACTTTCAAACCCCCAAACAGAAGGGGATACATTCCCTTCTGCCCCCTTCTTGCACCTTTAAATAGGGGGCGGCGCTGAAAAACTGAACACTTTTTTTACAACATTTCACAAACGGAAAATAGTGTTTGGGTCATAAATAGGACATTTATTTATTAGTTTAGACCTCAAAACGGAGGGGGTGTGAAAAGCCGTCAAAACACGTTTATATGATATAAAAGGTTAAACAATCTACTCTGGGATATACAATCGAGTTGAATTGTTTGTATTTTGACAGTAATCTTTAAGATGGCATATATTTTTCTTTCTTTTCCTGACTAGAATATGGACATGTGTCTGGACAGAAAGTCACTACAGATCATTATGTAGGCACCATATCAAATACCATACAGACTCTGAATTACACATCATCATTGTTAGCGGACCCGTCACAAGGGCCAATACCGCTGTCAAGACATGACACGATTCCGATTTCTACAGGAAATACTTCAATTTTAGGAAGGGCACAAATGGAAGGTTTGTCATTCATTGTATGCGATGCATGCCATTATATTTTTACAAGTGCCATGTTTCTAGTAATTTAATACTTTTAATCCCCTTCTCAAAGCGGAGGGGATTATAGGAATGGCCTCCGTTCGTCTCTCTATCCGTAACACTTTCGTGTCCACTCAATATGTTTTGAAAGTAACTTTGCACAAGTGCTCATGATTATGAGACAATGTGCAGAGCGCAAGAATTTGGTTGCTTCCCCAAGGTCAAGGTCATACTTACAGGTCAAATGTTGGAAAAAAATACATTTTGTGTCCGATTTATAAATTTTAAACCGCTGATTGTTTTAAAAATAACTTGGCACAGGTAATCACAATTATGAGACGATATGCAGGGTGCAAGAGTTGGGTTGCTACCCTCAAGGTCAAGGTCACACTTAAGGTCAAGTGTTAGAAGGTCTAATTTAAAAAAGATATTGGCGCCTATGATCACCATCATCACCTACAGAGGGAACAACCAGGTGACTACTCCCAAAGTCAAGGTTATAACATAACCAGCAGTCTGCTTATTCTCACATGAATGATTTGTAAAACATGAAAACTATTAATGAAAAACATTAGAGTCACAATCAAAGTATCAAAAGTTGAAACAGGACTTATCACAAAAGCCCATGAAACAGCAATTTTGCCTGAAGCATAATACTAGCAAATATGTAAGACACTTGTTCTAAAATTACCCATAGCTACCAAGACCTTGACAAAATTTTCAAAAAAATAAGAGAATTTACTAAGGTATCCTTCTGAATATTGAAGTTGGTCAATAACTGAACTTGACTTTTGTGATGAGCAAATGTACTTATGATATGCATGGCACAACTTTAAGGTCATGGTTGTGTTAAAGGTCAAGTAGTAAACATTCATGTTCACTGCGGAAGGGGTTTTAGCTGTTCTTCCGACTTCCTTGATTTTAACAATCTGCTCTGGAATTTACAATGACTTACGATGTTATACATTTCTGTTTTTCTTTTAAACTTAGGACTAGGAATTGGACATGTGTCCGGACATTTAGTCAATACAGATAGTTCTATAGGCACCATATCAAATGCCACACAGGGACTACACAACATCATTGTCAGTGGTACCGTCACAAGGGCCAATCTTACAGTTAAGTCATGACAAGATTTCTACAGGAAATACTTCACTTCTAGGCAGAGCACATGTGGAAGGTTTGTCTTACATGAATAGTCATCAATATGAATAAAATTCCAATCCAATAGTATTTTATATAATTAGCTACACTAATAAAACTATTATTCCCCGAGGATGACAGCCGAGTAAAACTTTGGCGTTGTTCTTTGGGCTGTTTATCTTTGCATCAGGCAGTCTTTTCGTCTAACATTCCCTCAACACTACAGCTAGTTTAGTTATAAATCTTATCTACATATGTAGAAACATTTTATTGAGGAGAAGTGCAGTGTAAAGCAGCTGTTTCGTTTCATTTCATAGTAACTAAAGTATTACCTTTTATTTTTTTAAACCGTAACTTTAACTCTTTATGTGTTTAGCTATTAACGTTTAATATAATACGTCCATATGAGTCATCATGGAATTGTGTATTAATCCAGAACTTTAGCTCTTCATCCCATAACGTTTGCGTTTGTCCTTGGTGTCATCAATCTTGTTGTCTTTCAAATTATTTCCGTTATCAACAAGAACAGAATAGTGCACAGATGACATTGTAATATACAGATTGTGAGGTTTTTTTCACCTCGCTGTAGGTCTGAGTTATGTAATCAAGTATACCCAAACTCTGAATCTGCATTTTTAGCTACGGCTCTTTGTAGGTTATCAAAATAATAACATATGTGCAAGATTTTAACATATCTTGGAATATTTTGTTTGTCTTTAAGGAAAAGATTCACATCAAAATTCATCAAAGAACGCATGCATTATGAATTACTACAATTAGAAATATCACTTTATTAGAGAAATATTTGCCGGCTTTGTTATAGTGATTTATTTGTTATTGTTACTTATCCAAATAGACATAAATGCATAATGGTAATGGAGTTATAGTCCACAGAGTAAATAATTTTACGTTTTTTGTTATCCTTGTCAACTTTGATAATTTGAACATGATTTTAGCTGAATCCTTAAATTTATACTCTTATATATAGTAACATAGTAAAATACTGATAATTAAATGACCAAAATAACATGACAATATGTCGTACAAATATTTTATTGTCATAGTAGCTCAATATATTGACCTTTTTTACAGCTCATTTATGTTAGCCTTGTACATGTATCATAATTATATTCACAGGAGTATAATACACAAAAGTTTCAATTAAGCGCTTTTTATCATACGACAGAGTATATCTATTTAACAAATCTACTTGTCGATTCAAACCATTACTATAATTAAGGAAGGCATTGAGTCGCCTTTATTTTATATGAAAATACAATAAATTAACATCTCATTTCAGGAATACAAAATCCAATGCAATTGCAAAGAGGTTTCTCTGGAATGGAAAGGTACAATATGTTAACATTCTAAGTCAAAACCTCTTTAGCTAGTACATATCTCAATATATTATACATGAACAGGTCCTGGTCGGTGTGGCCATCGTGGTCGTGGTTTATATACATGCACAGCTTAGAGAATTGATGTGTACATGTCATATGACGTCAATTATGACGAATTAACCTTATAGCGTCGGAAAAATAAATTCTACGCTCAATATACCCAGCTTATTTCTATCAATTCTCTTTTATATTAGCATGTTAGAATAAGTATTATTATGTTTTTATTGCGGTTGTTCTGATGGAAAATCTAAATAGGTGAATTTGACTAGATCTAAATGAGTACCTTGTATTTACGCATGAATTGAACTGATTTAAACTAATTTTAGACTATGATTGAATTAAACGATTTTTCTTATTTATTTTTTTTTCTTTTCTACTTTTACTGATAAAACCATCAGTTTTAATTATCATTATTATATTACAACTTAGTGCAGTTGTATCATTAAATCATTAAATATTTGCTCGTTATATCACTATCATCCTTAATAAATCTAAAATAAATAATTAAAACATTTCTTGTGAAAACATGTTTTAAATAAAAAAAATATATATTAGCGGTCAATATTTGAATTTTTTACTTTTCATGTTTGATCTCATTTTCTTACAAATAACGGATAAAATTATATCATTTTTATAGCCATACAGTATATCTTTTATAAATCTACAATAATTGATAAAAACATTTCTGGTGAAAACCTAAAATCTGGTTTAAATAAAAAAAATATAGCCGATCAATATTTGAATATTTTACCGTTCACATTTTATCACATTTTGTTTTCAATTAACAGAAAAAGTTGTATCGTTTCTATGACCATAATCTTGAGTTCTATTTCAGGGTAATACAGACTGAGACAGATGATTTGAGTGTAAAGAGATCGAGGTCAATGTCGTCAGGTTTATGGTCAGTCGAAGAGAAACGTGAGATTAACATCAGGACCAATGATGATATTGAGGGTTGTTTCATTACAGGAAGTTGTATCATACCTTCAGGAGAAATTCTGCTTGCGGATTACAATAATAAAAAGTTGAAGAAACTTGATAATATGTATAATGTAAGGTGTGTGTGTGATCTTTCTCATATACCATATGATGTTTGTTATGTCAGGGATAATGTAGCTGTTGTATCACTGTCGTGGAAGAAACTTCAGTTTGTTGATACTACACATAGTATGACTCTGCTTAAATCCATTGATACAGATCATGAGTGTCTTGGTCTGGTTTGTCATGGCGATCAGATGTATGTAAGAGACTGTTATGGTTCTGTTTATAGTTATAGTACAGATGGTATAAAGCAGCAGATGATTTATTTAATATCTAGAAACGAATCATTTCTTTTTAATTATTACATTTTTAACAATACATCACCGATTACTGTGAGTAATGATGGAAGTAAGTTATACCTACCAGGTCTAAATGAGCTTGTTACCATTGACAACAATGGAAACCATTTGTTTACATTAAACAATGAAGACATAAATTTCAAATGTGGAGTTTGTGTAGATGATGAAGGTTTTGTTTATGTAAATGATATGAATTGGAATATTATAAAAATAAGTGAAGATGGTAGAACTATACTTCAGGTCATAACAAACCTATCTAACTTGACAGGTGGACGTTCTCGTACATTAACATTTGATAGGAAAAATAAAGCTCTGATAGAAGCAGGGTGGTCAGACACAATTATAGTCTTAAAACTAAGGAAATAATGTGAAACTCAAACAAGTTGAATACATAGGATACCGTGATCATATAATGGACAATATTTCCTAATATATAATACACTTTATTTTTAACGGCATAATGTATACTTAAAATAATTCCTCATTTGATGGTGGAACAAACTTGATTTTTCTGGTTTTACATCAATGCAGAGATAATGCAAGATATATGTGTTTATAAACTTTGATAATTTGAAGTGCAACATAATAATTTGATTATTTATATGTTATCGCCCATTTTTCTTGTCTGGAATGGAGTCAATTATTCGACACACATTTCTACAACACTGTATTTTATTCAGTTACTGCTAAGAGTTGTTTTATGTGTGATCTACCAATTGATATTTCAATCATAATAAATTATTTTATAGAATAATTAAAGTGTTTAAAAAGCTTGTAAAGGTTTCAACAATTATATCAATTAACTATAGATAATGTAATATGGACCAATGTAACTTTTTTCCGTACCATCTGAATGTGTCCTTGAAGAAAATAGTTTTTTAATCTTTTAATTGGGGACCACGGGTATGCTTCTTTAATAAATTTATGTTAGGGACTTCTCACAATAATAAAATAATTGATTGAAATAGTATAAATTAGTTGTTGTTGTTGTTGTTTAGTCCAATATCTTTATATAGCGACACTTATATAAATCTACTGAGCCCTGAGAATATACTCCTCTACGAATTTTGTGATTGTTTGGTCCCCCGTGTGGACCATTAATTGATTCTCATTGAACCTGACCACTATTACAGTTGAAACTGTATCTAATGGATTAAATTTCGATAAATGTTTAAAACCTTTTGCAGTTTTAAACAATATATATATATTAATTTTATGTTTTATGTGTCAAGTTTATAATTAAATGTTAAATGAACATATAACTAAATAACTAAAATATTATCCATGGGTTTATTTTTCCAGCAAATTTAACCATTCTAACAACATGAATCTTTTAGGTGGGTAACTAACTTTATTATAGATTCACGCAAATAACTCTAGAGGACATGCAATACAAGACTATACAAGTTGTGTCCCTTGCATCACCATGTTCAAAGATTGGCAATATCTCATTTTACTTTGCGTTGAGCACAAAAATCTATCCAAAGAATTAAGGTAGCCTTGGATATTCAACCTGGTTTTCATTTTCCAAGCTCAAAATAATCCAGATAAAATCTACAGTTTATTGTACTCGAAGTAAAGATTCTTTTTATGTACATGTACATGTATTTGTAACACATTTGGTGCGTTCAGAATATTCCTAATGGTACCAATTATGAAAAATCATACCATATGTAGGTTTACTTATCATAGTCATACCATGGTACCAATGTTTACGGACATAATTTGTCATGGTTAGATAAATTTGCAGACAGAATTCAAGGTAAATACATTGGCAACAAAAAAAATGCCATGGAAAATTTTACGGACAGACGGTAGTAAATATATTGGTATCCATTTGTAGATTTATTTACCATCGGCATATCGATGGTACCAATAAAAATATTGGCCATTGCTAGATTCATTTGCCGATAGACTAGTGCTATGGTAGAGTCTTACTATGACGTCATTAAAAATCACGACCCTGATCTGATTTTCATGTTTAATATGAAATATACTTGATCATATTGGGCTGCAATAATATTCTAAAGTTTGTAATAATGAAATATTATTTGCAAAATAAACAAATTCATTTAGAATAGAATTAATTAATAACAATAAAAATTACATTCACAACTGAACCAAACTAAGGACCAAATTAATGATTAAGATAAGACGTCTTAGGTGTCATTGGTACTTTCACCTTTGGTACTAATATATTTTATAAACAAAAAGTATAACAACAATCTGATAAAATGAGTGATCCCTCAGAAGCAGTGAAACAACAATATTATATAAAACTTTTCGACTCGAGACTGTATATATTAGTATACTTGAAAGTCATGGGATTTCCATATTAAAATACAAAAATTGAGCTGTCAACAGTATAGAGCCTGACCAGACAACAAGGACGTGCCTGGTTTTATGCTTGTGGCAAAGCCTGATCACTTATGGTACCGATAGGCTAAAGGTTTACTTTATTTTAATGTGTTACTTATGAAATAGAAAGTTTTAATCTCAGGGAAGCGGGAAATTGCGTGTTTCTTGAAGAGGAAAATAGTTTGTTTTTCTTGTATCAATTGATAGCATCATTTGTAAATTATTCGTTACACATTTTTTATGACTGATGTTTATAAATCAGATAATCAATGATATAGTTTTGTTAGCATGTATTGAATAATTATTTCCCTTAATCAATTAAAACATGTACTTTATTTTTAAAGCTCCCGTTCTAAATATTAAGGTTCATACGCATTCGAATGTGTACATGCAACGTTACATTGTATATTTATATAAAACCATGGCAAAATATTATAAACAAGTACATATACTCACGTGGACATGGAGTGATCATTTTATGGCAGATAATTATATTGTTGAATTTTAAATAATATAAATCAAGGCAATATGGACCTGACCTTCATATATCTGCTTCTATAATAACAAGAAAATCGATGTCATAAAGTAATGTACAGCAGCGGCAACAACAGACATTTTCAGGCCGCGTCACGACAAAACCAACATAATGTGGTTTGCGACCAGCATGGATCCAGACCAGCCTGTGCATCGAGGCAGTCTGATCAGGATCCATGCTGTTCGCTTACAAGCCCTATAACAAGTAGAGAAACTGATAGCGAATAGCATGGATCCTGACTCCGCGCAGTCTGATAAGGATCCATACTGGTCGCAAACCCACTATGTTGGTTTTGTCGTGACGCGGCTCATTTATAATTTGAAGGAAATTTTCAGTTTAAGTGAAATTTTATATATGCATATAATTATGCTTCTTAAACAATTTTCAAACACCGAAGAATATGTTAAAGAACTGTAAATATTTGCCCACATTATATGCAATCATTAATATATGCATTCATTTCTTCTTAGACTTAACAGAAAATAAATATCTAACTATACCTCCTTTTATTAACATGTAATGTAAATTTGGTAATATCTTTATAAATTATGCATTTTGGAACTTACAATATTGAGAAATTTTCATTCTGAGCATTATATTTATGATATAAAACCTTAAAATAAATGAGTTACCGGATATTTAACTTTTACAGGAAAAAAACCCGGAGTATTCGTCCGGATAACGTAATCTGTCATTTATTCATATCACGAGCTCAATCTTAACCTCAGTAGTATAAACGTTTACAAGACTCATTTAATTAAAAAAAACAACAACAAACACACGGTCACAATGGAATCTCTACGTGAATTTGTCAAAGATAACGGACTATATTTAGCAACAGGTGCTGTCATCGTCGGATCGTCATTGTTATTATATAAACGAATGAAACGTTCTCGAACAAGGTCAGTTCTACAACTTATTATTGTATTGATCCAGATATCGGACATATAGATAATTATCGTACATTCGTAATTAGGTCTAATAATACATTATAAGTTTAAGTTAATGTGACGTCACTGATAATGCATTATATTTTTGATTTCATCAGCTAATTTTACGATATTCATCATATCGTGTTATTTATAGCATAAAATCAGTTAAACCTCCCTCTACTGTAAGCCTACACAGATTAAAAACAGAATAATATCTTTTTATGCCAAATTTGTCTTTAAACACTTAAAATATGACATTGTTGTGTGAAATTATTACTCTTTCACAAAGAAACACATCGATATAGGAAACAATATTATGCAGGGAAGTGAGATCATTATTTCGTAAACAACCTATACTCAACATCACTAATTCCGCGTCATCACTTATTTCACGGTAATGGCATGTTTTCATATGACCAGTGTTAAAATTAGTCAGAATTGACATATTTTATTCATACACCTAAACAACAAAGTTTTTGTGTAACATATTTTAAATCTCTAGATTTATACGTTAAACAGAACAACGTTTTACAAATTTCTGCAAATAGCAAAAAGAGTCCATACGTCTGAAACATTCACCATTTTCTAGTTGTTTTTGTTTGTTAAAAAAAAAGTTTTGAGTTAAAAAGTAAAAATACTTTTAATGTTTAAAATAGAGCCATATATATTCAGAAATTTTAACTGAAACATGAAAAAACTATAGTGTAATACCATTTACCGCGATTTAAATGATGACATTGTTTACAAAATGGCCGTCTAGCTGGCCCATTTAAACTAATTTTGACTGAATATATTGTTGTTTCCTTGTGTCATACAGCAGAAAATTCCTATATGTTACTACATATGATAATTTAATCGTAAGTTTCATTTGCTGTTTTCTTTCTTGTTTCAAAGCGTTAAGTACCGTGAACTAAGATGAGCACAGTATAATACAAATTAACAAATTTGTTGCAATTAAACATGCATGTTTTGTTATTATAAAAAGCTTGGGCATGATGCATCAAAGACTTCAGTGCCAGATAAGGATTTTTTTAAATTAACAATACTTATTAATATTTTTGGCAATATTGACCTGAGTCTCATTAATTTTCTGAAGTTTTGCGTTACTTTTCTAAATTTATTACGATTTACTTATTGATTTCTAAGATACATAATGAATTTCATACTAACTTCCTCAAATATATATTTTTATTTCATGTATAACAACACGCGTACCTGTTTTTTAAATAATTAAAATATGGTAATTAAAGAACCAACAAGCCTAAGACTTCCTGATATTAATTAGTAGTTCCATTTACAGAAATTAACAAGTGCAATGGGAATAATGACAATATTTGCTTAGAAAAGGTGAATTACAAAACGACCGATCGATATTGATTTCATAAAAAGTAACTTTTACAATTTCTATTGCAATAACTGTTATATATGTAGTGCGTGTGTTTCTGTTTAAATGTAGTGCGTGTGTTTCTATTTCTTATATAAAATACTTGACTTGATGAATGATCGTGTATAACAAATAACGGCTTAATATGATTTCACTTATTATTCAGTATATCTATTAGATTATTTATAATAATCAAACTTGTAAACAAATTTACCTTTTTTTTCTATATTTACGTCTTTATGCACATTATTTTTTCGAAGTTAACGTCTTCAACTACAACATTATAGAATAAGGGGTCGAAATGGCCAGTCAATTTAAGGGGTCTAAGTGTCTTAGGGGTCTAAGTGTAATGGGTCGAGCTGTCTTAGGGGATCGAGGGGTAGAGATGTCAAGAGATCGAGATGTCATAGACTCTATAGCAGAGGCAAAATTTATCGACAAGCATTTGAAGCGAGAAATATATGAAGCGTTGTTTGGCAAGGGGGAACAACCTGTTTTTCGTCTCAGGCGTATCACTGTATCTACATGAAAAATCTGACATTTAACAAGACCAGTGCATACTTAACAATGTTATATTTATGTGATTATTGTACAGCATAGTTCGGCAACATGTTTATTTCTTCTTATCTTCTAATCTTCATTCAGGTAGAGGAATTCTATAAACAATTTTACATTAAAAGAATAACAAAACCGAACATGCCCACTACTCAGGAATGTGAGAGTCTGTCTGTCTATCTGTCAGTCAGTCAGTCAGTCAGAATAAGTAGTAACAACCGATCACGTTTCTTTACATAATTATCATATTATTACTTTACTTGTATTTGTTTTTCTGATATATAGAAAAAAGGCAGTCAATGTATTTTAAAATATAACGAGTCGTTTTCCATTTTAACATACCCAGGCTTTTGGAACATGACCCATACCCATGGAATTGGGAATTTCAGCGATGTTTTGGTATAAATTTGGAAAAAATGCATGACTTAAATTTTGCACTGATTAAATAAATGCAAAGAATCACTGTTTGTCTCAAACATTTAAGCAGTATAACAGTGAAGAATCCCTTATTTTCAAATTTTAGAATTTTTTATTCAATATTTTTATAATTTGTAACTTTCAATTGGGATTTATTCCCTGTTGATTGGGAAAATACTATACTATTTCTAATGGGAAATATTGTTTGTTTGTTTGTTTTGGGTTTTACGTCACATCGACACAGTATAGGTCATATCGCGACGTTCCAGCTTTACTGGTGGAGGAAGACAAACATGGTAGATAGGCTTAATTTATTTACTATTTGAATATGCTTAATATTACTTTGTTTCACAGAGTATGCGGCGTGGATTATCCGAAAGACAAGGTCATTCTTCATGTGTTTCCTCGGACCAAAACTATTCCGAATATGGGCCATTTTGTGATGAAGTTAGAAACGTATTTGCGGATACATAAAATACCGTTCCAGGTAAATGACAAACAGTTATTTCATTTCGTTGATATATCTATTTGAGGTTAATATTGTGGGTAATGGGGCACGCTAAGATCGTATGGCTACTTTCAAGGCGGATGCGTGGTGACCGTGTATATCAAGTAATAGTGCCGTCACACCGGAGAGGCGTCCTTACTGCGCTGCTGCGGCGACGAAAAATGGACCCAGAGTGTGTTAAGGTCGCCATAAGCGTGGTATTACCGTGGTAGAAACGCCAGACGTCGTGTTATGGTTGCCATGATCGCCAATGATCGCCGAGTCACGGCATTTGTTTTAAACGTGGTTAAAACAACGGATTTAGCTCAATACAGGATAGGAGCAATACCTCTAGACTCTTGTAGAAATCATGATCACAAAATAGACACATATCGTTTTTTTTTGCCGATTTTTAGCTCACCTGTCACAAAGTGACAGGGTGAGCTTTTGTGATCGCTTTTCGTCCGGCGTCCGTCCGTCGTCCGTCCGTCCGGCCGTCCGTCCGTCCGTCCGTAAACTTTTACTTTAAATGACATCTCCTCATAAACCACTAAGCAAATTTCATCCAAACTTCACAGGAATGTTCCTTTGGTGGTCACCTTTAAAAATTGTCCAAAGAATTTAATTCCATGCAGAACTCTGGTTGCCATGGCAACCGAAAGAAAAAAACTTTAAATATCTTCTTTTAAAAAACCATAAGAGCTAGAGCTTAGATATTTGGCATGAAACATCTTCTAGTGAGTGTCTACCAAGTTTGTTCAAATAAAAGCCCTGGGGTCAAAATTGGCCCCGCCCCGGGGGTCATTGATTTTCACTATATACATATAGTAAAAACTTAAAAAAATCTTCTTTTAAAGAACCAAAAGAGCTACAGCTAAGATATTTAGCATGAAACATGTTCTAATGGGTGTCTACCAAGTTTGTTCAAATAAAAGCCCTGGGGTCAAAATTGGCCCCGCCCCGGGGGGTCATTGATTTTCCCTATATGCATATAGTAAAAACTTAAAAAATCTTCTTTGAAAGAACTCAAAGAGCTATGGCTAAGATATTTAGCATGAAACATGTTCTAATGGGTGTCTACCAAGTTTGTTCAAATAAAAGCCCTGGGTCAAAATTGGCCCCGCTCCGGGGGGTCATTTATTTTCCCTATATGCATATAGTAAAAACTTAAAAAATCTTCTTTTAAAGAACTCAAAGAGCTATGGTTAAGATATTTAGCATCAAACATGTTCTAATAGGTGTCTACCACGTTTGTTCAAATAAAAGCCCTGGGGTCAAAATTGGCCCCGCCCCAGGGGGGTCATTGATTTTCCCTATATGCATATAGTAAAAACTTAAAAATCTTCTTTTAAAGAACCAAAAGAGTTAAAGCTAAGATATTTAGCATGAAATATGTTCTAATAAGTGTCTATCAAGTTTGTTCAAATAAAAGCCCTGGGGTCAAAATTGGCCCCGCCCCGGGGGGTCATTGATTTTCCCTATATGCATATAGTAAAAACTTAAAAAATCTTCTTTTAAAGAACCAAAAGAGTTAAAGCTAAGATATTTAGCATGAAACATGTTCTAATAAGTGTCTACCAAGTTTGTTCAAATAAAAGCCCTGGGGTCAAAATTGGCCCCACCCCAGGGGGTCATTGATTTTCCCTATATGCATATAGTAAAAACTTAAGAAATCTTCTTTTAAAGAACCAAAAGAGTTAAAGCTAAGATATTTAGCATGAAACATGTTCTAATAAGTGTCTACCAAGTTTGTTCAAATAAAAGCCCTGGGGTCAAAATTGGCCCTGCCCCGGGGGATCATTGATTTTCCTTATATGCATATAGTAAAAACTTAAAAAATCTTCTTTTAAAGAACTCAAAGAGCTATGGCTAAGATATTTAGCATCAAACATGTTCTAATAGGTGTCTACCAAGTTTGTTCAAATAAAAGCCCGTGGGTCAAAATTGGCACCGCCCCAGGGGGTCATTGATTTTCCTTATATGTGTATAGCAAAAACTTAAAAATCTTCTTTGAAAAAACCCAAATAGCTAGAGTTTAGATATTAAGCATGAAACATCTTCTAGTAAGTGTCTACAAAGTTTGTTCAAATAAAAGCCTTGGGGTCAAAATTGGCCCCGCCCCGGGGTCATGGATTTTCTTTATATGTGTATAGCAAAAACTTAAAAATCTTCTTTGAAAAAACCCAAATAGCTAGAGTTTAGATATTAAGCATGAAACATCTTCTAGTAAGTGTCTACAAAGTTTGTTCAAATAAAAGCCCTGGGGTCAAAACTGGCGCGGCCCCAGGGGTGTCATTGTTTTTAACTATATGTGTATAGTAAAAACTTTAAAAAAATCTTCTTTTAATAAAGCCCAATGAGCTAGAGCTTAGATGTTTAGCATGAAACATCTTCTTATGGGTGTCTACCGAGTTTGTGCAAATAAAAACCCTTGGGTTAAATTGGCCCTGCAACGTTGGGGGGGGGGGGGGTGGGGGTGGGGGCCTATATACAGGTGAGCGACCTCAGGGCCATCATGGCCCTCTTGTTACATTTGTCCTTTATTATAGTACTTAATTTTGTGTGAAAGATGAATCATACCTGTTAAAAGTCATTCCGTTGGGTAAAAAGACAAGATTTTAGCATTTTATTATTCAAGCGGCTTGTCCTGTATGTACCGGAATACGGTATTTAGTGTGGGGCTCCAATCCTTTTTTTAGTCTCACTCAAAACATAAGCCAAGGTCCGGCGATCCGTCAAGGAACGCGTTGATCGTTAGACTGTCGTTAGAAAAACATCGTTACATCTAGAGCTATGAACGTAGTAAAAGCGCAGTACACGAAAAAGACGCTGCGAAAACGGCAACACTTGCAACGGCGAATTTGATGCGTCTTCACTGTGACTCTCGGGTTGAGACCCTATGGCGTTGAGATACCTGTGAAGTCGTTATACACGTAGAAGAGGCTTGATAAGATTAAAAGATTAAAGAACCCATAAGCATGGTGAAAGCACGATTGGAACTCCGACGAAAACACCATAAGCGCGTATAAGTAGTGGCGGGCGCGCCCTAAGAACGCAGTGTGATCGCAAATGTCGCGATAAAAGCGCGACTGTTTTAGAATTTGAATTATTTTGGGGGTCTTTTCCACGCGATTTGGTCACCTTTGCCGGCGGATTTGTACATTTTCTGTGGTCGCCGTAAGGTCGTAAATGGCCACAGTCCAGTGTGACGGCACCGTAACGCAGAAATGTGAAAATAACAAAAAGTACCGCCGAATCTGTGAAAAGTTATGTCCAAAACGAATAACGGGGTAAATAAAGGGACCAAACTATTTTTACATAAATCAAAGTAACAGAAATAAATAAACGCATACGCCTGCTATGACGTACCAGCATTACAATTATTTCCATGAATATGTTAACATTTTACAACTTGCAAAATTCCTGCGTTACTTTTGCACAATTCCTGCGTTATACTGGATGTACACAGATGTTGTTAGAAAACTTTATTTGAACTCTGCACATTTTGAGACAGGACGGACACAGTGATAGAACAAGGTTGGGTATCTTAACCACGTTGGATATCTTAACCACATTGCATATCTTAACCACGTTGGATATCTTCACCAAGTTGGATATCTTCACCAAGTTTGATATCTTAACCACGTTGGATATCCTCACCAAGTTGGATATCTTAACCACGTTGGATATCTTAACCACGTTGGATATCTTAACCAAGTTGGATATCTTCACCAAGTTGGATATTTTAACCACGTTGGATATCTTAACCAAGTTGGATATCTTAACCACGTTGGATATATTCACCAAGTTGGATATCTTAACCACGTTGGATATCTTAACCACGTTGGATATCTTCACCAAGTTTGATATTTTAACCACGTTGGATATCTTAACCAAGTTGGATATCTTAACAACGTTGGATATCTTAACCACGTTAGATATCTTCACCAAGTTGGATATCTTAACCACGTTGGATATCTTAACCACGTTGGATATCTTAACCACATTGTACATCTTAACCAGGTTGGATATGTTGGTTAATGTAGAATCTGGTATATAGTTATTTGAACCCACGGGATAATGAGCAACCATTAATTGCCTCTCATCTAGGAGATATCTGAATTACTATCACACTAAGTATGTTTTTATGAAATTTGTGGACATTTTTTAACTAAAAAACAACAACGGCAAAAAAAAAATATTTTAACAGTGACAATATTAAGTTATAATTAAATGTAGGCAACACATATTCTTGCTTCTCAACTGTGCCTTAACTGTATGCCTGACCAGTAATGTAAGTGTACAAAAGAAAGAAGAAAAAAAGAAAACGTCGGTATAGAAGTGGAATTTGAGAACAAACGGGGATTGTTTAAGATATATGGATATAGTTTTTATACCTGTATTTGTGATGATAACTTAATATTAAGGGTTGGGATCAATCGTACGGTGGTACAAAGGTGACATGAGCGTTTTTTTATCTATCTTGTACGCACGAGATACTATGTCGTGGCCACCAAATACTAAGTCGTGAGTACGAGAAAATTAATTGGTGCTCACGTGGTCACGCGTTACTAAGTCGTGCGTACGAGATAATTAAGTGGTGCTCACGAGATACTATGCCGTGGTCACGCGTTACTAAGTCATGCGTACGAGATAATTAAGTGCTGCTCACGAAATACTATGCCGTGGTCACGCGTTACTAAGTCATGCGTACAAGATAATTTAGTAGTGCGCACGAGATACTATGCCGTATTCACGCGTTACTAAGTCGTGCGTACGAGACAATTAAGTGCTGCTCAAAAGATACTTGGCCGTGGTCACGCGTTATTAAGTTGTGCGTACGAGATATTTAAGTGGTACTCACGAGATACTATGGTAAACATGTTAATACTATTAAGTATCTGATATAACATCAAAACATGAAAGAATTGTATGTATGTTTATTGTTGGCAAGTGTTAGATACATGTATTACAGATATTTATATAGCAGATAATAAAATGTTCTTGAACACAATATTTTTTTTATCATTTGACTGTTCATACTAAATTACTTAGAACATTAACAACATTTTTTTTCATTAACAATATCCAAATGATCTATGTATCTATTGTTCTTATCAATATTTGAGCTGCGCCATGACAAAACCAACATAATACGTTTGCGACGAGCATGGATCCAGACTAGCCTGCGCATCAGTTTTACTACTTGTTATAGGGTAAGCGAACAGGCGAACAGCATGGATACTGATCAGACTGCGCGGATGCGCAGGCTGGTCTTGATCCATGCTGGCTGCAAACGCATTATGTTGGTTTTGACTTGGTGCGGCTCATTTGAAATACTTACGGAAAATATGCTCATCGTAGACTTGACATATATTTTCAGCTTGATTTTAACTACAAAGGCGGACCGAAGAATAAAACACCATGGATAGAATATAACGGTATTACAATGGGTGACTCTCAGTTAATAATTGAGTACTTTAATAAGGAATTCAACTTTGATATGAACAGTCATCTTAGCAAACAAGAACGGGCTGTTGCATGGGCGATACAGAAATGGTTGGAAGAATACACGTACTGGTTCGTGGAAGCTTTCTCATTCAATATCCTCTATTTATCACACACCCGTGCCGATTTGGGTTCGATTCCCGCACGGTGAAGGTCACTTTCGTTGTGATTGATCATGAAATCCTTTGTACGGTCATTCGCACTGCACCTTTGCTCTAGCATACACAGAAGTTATCAGTTCCTTGCGAAAGAAAATGTAACTAGTACTGGTTAACTGTACCACCACCATGCGTCACATTGTCATAAATACTTAAGATATAGATCTCTATTTTAAGGGAAAATCATCATTATCTAGACTGTATTATGTGAAGTCAAAAGTATTTATATTAATTACTATTTTTATATTTAATAAACGTTGCAATGTAAAAAAAAATACTTTTAACATGTTTTACTCAAAATATGCAAAACGACCCATTAGGAATACCGTGATAAAAAGTATATTATATATTTATTAGATAATGCGATGGAAGTATTAAAATTGCAAACCAGTGAAAGGCTTGTGAATATCTACTTAATTCTTAAACGCCTATAATATTGTGTTAACTTTGCGTCCAGCTTTATTTACTTCCTTATTTTTTTCAGGCTAAATGTCTACAGCCGTTGGGTGATTTTTGGCGATGAAATGTTACGGAAATTCCTAAAAGTTCCAGGTCCTGTGGCAGCTTTGCTCAAAATTACTATGCGTCCTAGAATGATTAAAACATCTTACACTGTAGGAATTGGTCGCCATAGTGACGAGGAAGTACATCAGATGATGCGTAATGATCTTAAAAAGTTCTCAGATTTGTTAGGTGAGATTTGAACTTTAAAGCGGCCTTCATCTTTTATTTTTAGTTGGAAAAACAATACTATGTTGTTTCAATCTAAGTATTTTAGTAAATATATCTCGGAAAAGTGCATCATATCACCTTTTAGCCATCTTCAACACAGCGTTCTGTGAGCTATTTATAACGCGGCAGTGACGTTCGTTTCTAAAAATAGAAAACGGGAAACAAATCGTCTGCTTTACTTGTTTAAATATAGAGAGCGGACCGGTAGATTAGAGGTATCGAGGGGTTTCCTTATTGTTTACGTATTTTAAAGACAGCAAATTTCATTTTCCACATTAATTATTTTGATTTATTTAAAAAAACATATCTAACTATTAGAAAAGCTGAAGGCCGCTTTAATCTAGTGGTGGAAAGCCTGATCCATGCAACACGCATGCAACACATACACTTTGCACTGTTGACAAAAGCATGTTTAGTGTGAGAACTTTTCACACTTGTAGAGTCATGTTGTTCAGCATCATTTTATCATATTTTGTCAATGTTCTTAAAGGCTTACATTTGTAAATATAACATTTCTTTGCGTTTAAAAATTACATTTCCGTATACAGTTAAATGACTGTATTTTAATTTATTGTTGGTTAACCAGACCGTGTCAACAAGTATATTCCTATATCTTAAAACATGCTCGTTTAACTTGAATTTCAAGGGCATTTATGTATGGTGTTTAAGTAAGACAATATTGTTTCCTTACAGGCGATAAGAAGTACATCATGGGCGATAAGATAACGGAAACAGACTGTGCAGCCTTTGGTATTTTGTCTCAGATCCGCTGGTGTACTCCGGAGTCTTGTCCTGGACGTCAACTCCTGACAAGTTTGTATATTTTAAGCTGATATTTAAAGAATTTAGAATCCAGCTATATGCTGCATTTCAATCAAAATCATACTCTTACATGCATCTGGTTCAGTACAAATTCAAATAGGTCAGTTTGACAGTTAATTATATATAATGACTGCTTCAATTTAGTTTTGTTGAAAATTATGTTATTTTGTTTTCATGCCATTTTGTTTTTATGCCACCACAATCTGCGATGCGGTGGCATATAGCGATTCATCAGTGTATGTGTCTTTTACAAATTATATAGAAACCTTAAAAATCTTCTCCTAAGAAACCTTTAGTCCCATTTCAACCAAATTTGCCAAGATTGTTTCTCTGTTGAAGGGCTCCCAAAGTTGTTTTTCATGCATAAATCAATTTAGTGATGTATTAATGCGATGGCATAGCATTTTTCACAAATGCAATCTTATTTCTTATTGTCATCATTTTAGACTTGCCATTTAAAGTTACAAACAGAGAAAATTGTGTAATATCTTGCAAATTTTTAACAATTTATTTACAGAACGTTATCACTTTTTCCAGGATTACATGAATGACATTTTAAGATTAAAACTGGTACAATTATCATCATCTGGATCATTATTATATAAATTACCTGTACTATGACAGTGATACATATATGAGCCGTGCCATGACAAAACCAACATAATGCGTTTGACCAGCCTGTGCAGTCTGATCAGGATCCATGCTGTTCGCTTACAAACCCTATTATAAGTAGAGAAACTGATAGCGAACAGCATGGATCCTGATCAGCGCAGGCTCATATGGTATTTTTATGTTTATGTTTTAATAAAACATTAAATATTAAAGGTGTTTAAATGGTTTTACTTAAAGGTGATGAACTTAAAAACGTGGCAGACTACTTGGACAGAATCAAGGACACTTACTGGATGGATTGGGAGGAAATTCTTGCTGCTGTGAAAAAATAACTTGCTCTGTTTGAAAGCTTTCACCAGAAATATTATGTCAATAGATTGAAATGTCTGTTTCTACGTAATGTGTTCCTATGTGTTCGAAACTAACAATGCCATTAATTTGAATGTTTGCACAATATAGTCAGGGTTATTTTGGATAGGGAACAGAACAGAACAGAATTTGTGGTTTATTAACAATTAATTGAAGACAATTGCTGATTTTCATTAGGTTGTATATTGTACATTTATGAGGTTGCTATAAAAGCCATATTGCACAGTAAAACACTAAATAATCAGGTACACATAAGTAATATTGTGCTAATATTATTGAACATTAATGAGGTTGCCATTAAAGCCATATTGCACAATTAAACACTAAGTAATCAGGTACACATAAGTAATATTTTGCTAATATTATTGTCCATTTATGAGGTTGTAATAAAAGCCATATTGCACAGTAAAACACTAAAAAAACAGGTTCACATAAGTTATATTATGTTAATATTATTGTACATTTTTTAGGTTGCCATTGAAGCCATATTGCACAATAAAACACTAAGTAATCAGGTACACATAAGTAATACTGTGTTAATATTATTGAACATTTATGAGGTTGTAATAAAAGCCATATTGCACAGTAAAACACTAAATAATCAGGTACATATAAGTCATATTGTGTTAATATTATTGTACATTTATTAGGTTGTAATAAAAGCCATATTGCATAATAAAACACTAAGTAATCAGGTACACATAAGTAATATTTTGCTAATATTATTGTCCATTTATGAGGTTGTAATAAAAGCCATATTGCACAGTAAAACACTAAAAAAACAGGTTCACATAAGTTATATTATGTTAATATTATTGTACATTTTTTAGGTTGCCATTGAAGCCATATTGCACAATAAAACACTAAGTAATCAGGTACACATAAGTAATACTGTGTTAATATTATTGAACATTTATGAGGTTGTAATAAAAGCCATATTGCACAGTAAAACACTAAATAATCAGGTACATATAAGTCATATTGTGTTAATATTATTGTACATTTATTAGGTTGTAATAAAAGCCATATTGCATAATAAAACACTAAGTAATCAGGTACACATAAGTAACATTGTGTTAATATTATTGTACATCTATGAGGTTGCCATAAAAGCCATATTGCACAGTGAAACACTAAATAATCAGGTACACATAAGTCATATTGTGTTATTATTATTAAATACTTTTATATTAATTTTGATGCACAATATCTTTTGTCACAATGTGTTGTTATTTTTGTATATGATTTATCAAATTAGATATTTTTTGGGTCATTTTGTTTTTTTCTTTGATTGATAGCCGTTTAGCTTCTGTCATTTTAGCTGACTTGACCATAAAGTCATGGCAAGCTGTTGTTAAACAACATTTCCTTCTTAAAAACAACATTCCTTACTTTAAAACAAAATTTCCTTCTAAAACACAAGACTGATTTTGACTAAACTTCACAGGTATAATATATAGGTAGGCCTCTGAATAGTTCCAGTCTGATGTACAAAAGATGACTTTATAAATGATTTTTTTAATTAAAACACTTCACTTTAGAAACTACAGTGGCTAGAATTTAAATGATCAGCATAAAGCATCCCATTCAGGTCACCTTTAAAAATAATATACATGTTAGTCATGCACTTTGAGGCACAAATGACACTGCCTTGGGGCCACTTATAATAAACAAGGCTTAAAAAACTTAGAAAATACAATGTTCGGGACTTAGATATTTAGTATGTAGCATCACCATGTGTTCCGCTTTTAATTCAGTACCCTGGGGTCAAAATTGTCCTCACCCAGACGGACACTAGTTTATATAGATTTATATACGAAAACACATTTAAGTCTTCTTGTGTGGAGCTACAATGCCTTGTGGTCCTCTAAAAAATCTTTAAATCGTGCTTCTAGGGTCAAAATTGGCCCCCATCTTGGGAACAGTCTTGTTAAATCTTTTATAGGAAAACACATGCGACACTACAATTTCTTTCAGGCATAAAACATTGTTTTCTGGGTCTCTATAAAAGTTACATAAATTATGTCCTTTTGGTCAAAAATGACAAGGATCGACACATATTTGGTCACAAAAAGCATATCTAAGATGACCTTATCATTTAACACAGCCTTGAAGAATTGTGACATTTTCTAATAATGAATCTTGGACGAGCCATCTAGGACCATCATGGCCCTCTTGTTGTTATTTAGAAATACTGGATATCAAAAAGAGCAAGGCAAGTCAGCATATCATCAGTATAAAGTAAAGCAAGTCGTCAGCTTGCCACCAGTATAGAGTAAGACAAGTCACCTTGCCACCAGTATAGAACAAGGCAAGTCAGCTTGCCACCAGTATGCAACAAGGCAAGTCACCTTGCCACCAATATAGAGTAAGACAAGTCAGCTTGCCACCAGTATAGAGTAAGTCAAGTCAGCTTGCCACCAGTATGGAACAAGGCAAGTCACCTTGCCACCAATATAGAGTAAGACGAGTCAGCTTGCCACCAGTATAGAGCAAAACAAGTCACCTTGCCACCAGTATAGAACAAGGCAAGTCAGCTTGCCACCAGTATGGAACAAGGCAAGTCACCTTGCCACCAATATAGAGTAAGACAAGTCAGCTTGCCACCAGTATAGAGTAAGTCAAGTCAGCTTGCCACCAGTATGGAACAAGGCAAGTCACCTTGCCACCAATATAGAGTAAGACAAGTCAGCTTGCCACCAGTATAGAGCAAGACAAGTCACCTTGCCACAGTAATAGAACAAGGCAAGTCAGCTTGCCACCAGTATAAGACAAGTCAGCCTGCCACCAGGATAGAGAAAGGTAAGTCAACTTGCCACCAGTATAGAGCGAGGCATGTCAGCTTGCTACCAGTATAGAGAAAGGCAAAGCCGCTTGCCACAAATATAAAGTAAGGCAAGTCAGCTTGCCACCAGTATAGAGTAAGGCAAGTCCAAGTCAGCTTGCCACCAGTATAGAACAAGGCAAGTCAGCTTGCCACCAGTATAGAGCAAGGCAAGTCAAATTGCCACCAGTATAGAGTAAGCAAGTCAACTTGCCGAACTGTATAGAGCAAGACAAATCAGCTTGCCACCAATATAGAGCAAGGCAAGTCAGCTTGTCACCAGTCCAGAGCAAGGAAAATCACCTTAACACCAGTATAAAGCATTGCAAGTCAGCTTATCACCAGTATAGAAAAGGCAAATCAGCTTGCCGCCAGTATAGAGTAAGGCAAGTCAGCTTGCCACCAGTATAGAAGAAGACAAGTCAGCTCGCCAACAGTATAGAGCAAGACAAGTTAGCTTGCCACCAGTATAGAGCAAGACAAGTCAGCTTGTCACCAGTATAGAGAAAGGCAAGTCAGCTTGCCACCAGTATAGATCATGGTAAGTCAGCTTGCCACCAGTATAGAGCAAGGCAAGTCAGATTGCCACCAGTATAGAGCAAGACAAGTCAGCTTGTCACCAGTATAGATCATGGCAAGTCAGCTTGCCACCAGTATAGATCATGGCAAGTCAGCTTGCCACCAGTATAGAGCAAGGCAAGTCAGCTTGCCACCAGTATAGATCATGGCAAGTCAGCTTGCCACCAGTATAGAGCAAGGCAAGTCAGCTTGCCACCAGTATAGATCATGGCAAATCAGCTTGCCACCAGTATAGATCATGGCAAGTCAGCTTGTCACCAGTATAGAGGCAAGTGTGTTTACCACTGGTTTAGAGGAAGGGGAGTCAACTTGCCAGATATACTGTATAAGTGGATATTTCTGCATCACCAAAAAGTTTGCGAATGTCAAATGCAGACTTTTTGTGTGCGGAAATATTTGCGAAAATATGATTCTTGTATATATTACTGTAATTGTGATATCAGTAATTAAGCAGGTACATACTCAAGAAATGTCTTGATTGTAATCGTTCTATTCTAATAAAATGTAAATGTTCTGATTAAAATCATAATGGACATTCAATTCTTGCAATTCTTTTTATATCAATGATGTTAGGGATCCTTTTATTCCGGTTTACGTCGCACCAACACAGTCATATGGCAGTTTTCCAAATTTTTTTAATGGAGGAGGATCGCAGGTTCCCTCCGTGCATTTTTTTTTCAGGCACGAACGGGAACATGAGATAGAACCACTGATCTTCCTTAAAGTAGCTTGATAACTTCCTCACATTAAAATATACAAGTCGCGGTCATGGACTCCAAAAATATGACAGTTAATTCGTTATAAACTTAATCTTTGATGATGGTACGATGGTGAAAAAGCGATGACAGTACGATGATGAAAAGGCGATAATGGTACGATGATGAAAAAGGCGATAAAAAGGTAAAGATGGTGAAAAAAGGGGATTATGGTACCCATGATGAAAAAGGGGAAAAGAAAAGGTACCATGGTGAAAAGTCCAAGTGGGTAAAGATGGGAAAAGGCGTAATGGTTCGATGGGAAAAAGGGGGAATTTAAAGGTTTCGATGATGAAAAGGCGATGATGGGTACGATGGTGTGAAAAAGGCGATGACAGTACGATGATGAAAAGGCGATAATGGTACGATGATGAAAAGGCGATAATGGTACGATGGTGAAAAGGCAATGTCGGTACGATGGTGAAAAGGCGATAATGGTACGATGGTGAATAGGCAATAATGGTACGATGGTGAAAAGGCGATGATGATACGATGATGAAAAGGCGATGATGGTACGATTGTGAAAAGGCGATGATGGTACGATAGTGAAAAGGCGATGATGGTACGATGGTGAAAAGACGATGTGGGTACGATGGTGAAAAGACGATGATGGTTCGATGGTGAAAAGGCGTTAGTTCAATGTTATAAACAATATGACATAATTTCGGTAATTACGTTATAAATCCGATGGCTTTATGGTATAAAGTCATAATAGTGCAATGGTAAAATCGCGATACCACATAAAAGTGCAATGGTAAAATCGCGATACCACATAAAGTGCAATGGTAAAATCGCGATACCACGATGGTGAAATCGTAGTGGCAGACGGCTCGATTGTGCAACAGCAATGGCACAATGACGGAAATGCTATATTATATCGCTATTTCACCATCGTCCCATACCACTATCGCGGAGCACTATCGTCCAATATCATCCTCGGGATTTCATCATCGTTCCATCACGTTTTTGTCATCGTGTAATCATCACTTTTTCATCATCGTGCCACCAGTAAAAATAATACATGATTTTTTAATCCAAACACCTTAAATAACTTAAGTATGGCGGAAATCTTTTACAGCTTCCAGTACCAGGCTTAATGTGAGAGCCCCACTCAGTTAAGGCTTTGATATTAAATTCCTAATATTAATTAAATAGCAAGTTAAATGTGTCCATGAAACTATGAAACAGATAAGTGTAACACTGATATGGAAAAAATAGAAGTACGATCTACTGAATTAGTTCTTAAGAATTTAAGAATTTAAAAATAAAAAAATATCTTTAAAAAAAAGTTGTATATGTATATAATGAGTTTAAGAGTAAAATTGATAAAAAAATGTAAAAAAAAGACACAAAAAAGATTTTCAAATGCCTGGACCGGGATACGAACTCCGGACATCTTACACCCGAAGCGAGCATCTAAGGAAAAAACATTTTTTTTATCTAAGGGAGTTAACTGACTATCAAACTATATAAGTAAGATTACTCTCCCTCTTTTTGAAATGAATTTCTGTTTCTATAAGGTCCGATTAAAAAAGTCTGTTTGGTTATTGTACGCCTATCAACAGTGATACAATTTTCAGTACATAAACCTTATATTTGACTCTTTGCAAGTATATTGCGATTAGGATTATGTCAAACAAAGTATTTCCTGGACAGATAGATAAGTATGCATTCCTTGATCAAGTCATGAAAGCAAATTGGCCAATAATTGATTTTGTAACGAAAATAAACATATACAGCTTATTTAATTGCTTCAGAGGCGAGTTTTAAGTAAATTAAGACAAACAATAAAAATATATGCCTGAAAAATGTCATTTAGAAATTCCCCGGGCGCACAAGTGTTTTCACATTGACTAGGAGACAGTAAACAAATGCGTTTTATCAATCCGGCCTAGTGAGAAAAAAATCTTTTTAAAATCAAGGGAAATTAATCTTACTTTATTAAGTGATAAATAAGTTATCTCCCTTATATATCGACATTGTCACCAGCATAGTCGAATCGGAACACATCGGACGACTTCAAGAATTGACGGAGATTGCCGAGTCTAGATTTTGTTTGTTTGTTTCATTTTACGCCTTTTCCCAACAGTATTTCAGTCGTATAGGCGGGCAGTC